AACATGATATTAAAAGATGCTTTTTAGCAACATGAAACCAAAGGGGGCTAGAGTATTGGGCCTTTTCTTATGGTGCTCTAGTTTCTCTCCATAAGGACTCATCTTTAAGTGGCAACGCAGGACTTACAGTATAACTGTGAGGACCACATGGCTCTGGTCTTAGTCCAGTACCTTGCTCTTTCTAGTTTGTAGCAGTTTACCAAAAGGACAAGAGGGGCATACCAGGCTAGGTATGGGCCTTATCCCCAGGGTGTGTACTATGCTGCGAGTATTAGTGCCATTTTTGGAGATGGCTCCATAACACTTGGGAGATTAAATCCTTTGCAACTGCTCCTTATTAGAACGACTGGGAAAAAGCTTTGTAGTGTACCCTGCCTGCTCACCTTGGAAGTGTTTTGGGGGTAATTAACCCGGGCATATGGGCAACACGACTCATGGTGAAAGTGTACAACCTCTGCAAAGTGTACAACTGGTATATCAGTCGTGCTCACGGACACGAGCGGCCTAGATCCTTACTGAATAGTTGGTTACTTGGTTGGTTTGGGTTATGATTAAAATTGTTGATATCTCTAATTATTCATATTCGGGACCTTAAGCATAACTTAGCAACTTATGATTAATAATAAAATATGATCAACTAAAAGTGCTTACCACAGTTCAGCCGAGTCAAGCCTTTTGAGCCTGCATCCCCTCGTGTTATGATTACTAAGCGGTAGTAGCTTACGCTTGTTTTATTTTAATACTTTGGCAAAATTCCTGATGGATACCAGATGGAGGTTCTTTCTGTGGAGTTTTACAAGAAGTGTTAGGATTGTGATCAACTAGTTGATGATTCCTGTGGTGTTGGAGGCTTCGCCAGAAGAATAGAATTATAGTATGCACTATAAAGTAAGACTATGTCTTTTGTAACAAACATTTATGCACTATGTAATGAATGCATTGTCTTTGATATTACTCCTTCATTTGTAACTATATGTGTGATTTGAATTCCTTGGCACATATATGGCGTGTATCTGGTTTTGTCCTTAAAACCATATGCTATAAAGTGGTATTAGAGCTATGTTGACTGTAGGACGCAAGCCTAGTTAGAAAATAATCGTTTTAAGGTTTAGAATTTGCTATGAAATCATTTGTCTATAAACCTTGCTATTTTCTCCTATACTATATTCTTGTCTTTGTTGTTCATCTCCTCCTTGTTGCTATAAATTTTGTCCCTATCTTCACCCTTGCTTTGAATTGCTTTTAGAGATATCACTTACCACATTCTTGCGCAAAATGAAGGTGAAGCTGTAGAGTTTTGAACCCTTGATACAACAAGAACGCTAGTAACGTGAGTAGAGTCATTAAGTCCTAATGCTTGAATTATGAACCTGTAATGTTTGAATGGTTGTCTTGATGTTCATGCTTGATTTGGATCTTTATAATGATTGCAATGATTTTGTAGGTTATGCTCACAATTTCATTTAGTTTACATAATAAGGCATAAGGACCAATGATTAGATAGTTGGGTTGGTTTTCTTCGTCCTAGCGCGTGCTATTTTCTGAGCAGTCAGTATTCATTGGGTTACATCTCCAAGGGTAGATGCCCAAAAGTCATGAAAGTTTTATGGATGAAAGTAGACTTCTGTATCTTTCATATGCCACCGGAATCACCTTCATATCTATTATGGTTTGGGAGTTATGACCTCTACAAGATGAAGTTTCTGCACTGTCTGGGAGTCTGAATAGTTTCGGTTGTGTTCTATTTCTGACTAACTTAACCTCCGAATCTGGCAAGGTGGTCTATACAAAAGTTGTAGAGAATTTCATAAGCTTTCTAGCCAAATAAGGAGTGCCTTCATATGATTTCTAGAACTTGAGATATGGCTGCCTTTCTGAACTATTACTAGTAGTTCTCATCTAGAAAATTTCAGATTGATTGTTTTATTATGTGAACTACTTCTGGATCATGGATTACAACCAATAATTGTGCTAAATGTTGCAAATAGATGGTTTCTACCGGGAGAAGTGCTTCACGTGATGCCAGAAGGAATACCCCTAATGCTAATCCACCGCCACCAAACCCTCCAACTATAGAGCAATTTATGATGACACAGACTCAATTGTTACAGACCTATGTTCAGAATGTATGCATCAACCCACATCAAGCACCACCAAGGGACAAGCGTGGTGAATTTATGAAGGGACATCCACCGACATTCTCTCATGCAAGCGACCCACTAGAAGCTGATGACTGACTTAGAGCTGTGGAGCGATAACTTAACATAGCTCAGTGTAATGACCATTAGAAAGTGCTTTATGCTTCCGGTCAACTTCAAGGAGCAGCTTCAGACTGGTGGGAATTATTTCAGATTGAGAAAGATGTAAATTAGATTTGTTGGAAAGATTTCAAGACTGCCTTTAGATCTTATCATGTTCTAGAAGCTTTGGTGGAGATCAAGGAGGAGTTCCTCAACTTGAAGCAGGGCTCCATGACAGTGTGAGTATCGTAACAAATTCACTCAACTGTCACGTTATGCTCCAGGAGAGGTGGTTAATTATGCCAAGAAACAAAAACGCTTTGAAAGGATTGAATGATGGACTTCAACTGCAGTTGATGACTGTTGTGTATCCTAACTTCCAAACTTTGGTGAATAGGGCCATTTTGATTGAGAACAAGCGTCGGGAAATGGAAGAGAAGAAAATAAGAATTCAAAGCCAGACTGTAGGTAGCAACACACGCCCCCGCTACACTCCCTAGCAAGAATTTCAGTAGAGGTACCAGGAACCAACTAGTCCATGGGATTTTGATCCTCCTCAACAACTCCCTCAATACCAGCAAGAGCAACAGTATGTGAACCAAAGTTCACCCCAAGAACCACTCATCAACTCCCCAATGAAGGATAGTGTGCCCAACACCCCCTCTTCAGGCAAGAAGTGCTACCGCTGTGGTGAGCCCGGTCATTATGCGAGTCAGTGCCCAAAGAAGCAGCTGGACTGCTCAGGCCAGATTCAAGGGAGAGAAGGAAAAATCATTTTTCTTTTTCTAAACTAGTTTTCCAAACCAATTTTGAGTACAAATTCAAATCAATTTGAAATTTGATTTCGAACCACACAATACAAAAATAATATGCAGCAGCATAAATGCACAACCATGTTGCTAAACTTATGATGAATTTTAATTTCAATAAAATTTATTATTTTTCCTAGGTTTAAATGTACACAAAAATACATGATTAGATGAATTTAACTCTTTTTGAAGAAAGGCAAATTTTAGGGTTTTACAAACCTACGCCGGTGAAGTTTTGAAACCTTGCTCCCAAGTGCTAAACGCAATGTGTATCAACTTTTGTGCATGTGTGTTAGCATATTTTCACAAACATTTTCAAGGGTGTTAGCACTCCACTAGATCCTAAATGCATATGCAATGAGTTAGAGCATCTAGTGGCACTTTGATAACCGTATTTCGATACGAGTTTCACCCCTCTTAATAGTACGACTATCGAACCTAAATGTGATCACACTCGCTAAGTGTCTTAATCACCGAAACGAAATGGCTCCTACCACTTATACCTTTGCCTTGAGCCTTTTATTTTTTTCTTTCTTCTTTTCAAATCCAAGCGCTCGATCATCACCATAGCATCACCATCATCATGTCATGATCTTCATTTGCTTCACCACTTGGAATGTGCTATCCTATCTCATGATCACTTTGATAAACTAGGTTAGCACTTAGGGTTTCATCAATTCACCAAAACCAAACTAGAGCTTTCACACCGTTATATGCTGACACCGGTCGCATCTACCTTGTAGCCCTATTTCAACTAAATGTGACAGCCCCCATCCCTTTCGCCTATGGTGACCTAACAATGTTGGAAGTCATTCAGCTGGACACCTTGCCGGGATTGTACAGTCCTATCTGTTATTATAGCAGGATCAACTAGTCACAGATCTAGCGGGTGGAACCTCTTCTATTCGGGATAAAACAACCTAGATCGACTAGAAAGAGAACTAGAGAGAGAGAAGGGGAGAGAGGTAGAGGCATAGACCATCGGTGGGCTTGGTGGAGGAGCTCGCCATGGCGTCGGTGTAGGGGTAGCAGTGGAGTCTGGCGGCGGCGTAGACGTCCTAGCGACGGCGAGGCGGTGAAGAACGGTGGCGGCGCTTCCCGCCACTGCTGCACACCCTTGATCGGTTAGGGATTCACTTCTATTTAGAATAAAAAATGACATAGATCATGAACTAGACAGAAGGAGAGACTAGAGAGAGAGGGGTGTAGAGGTAGCTGACCATCGGTGCCCTTGGCGAAGCTGCTAGCCATGGCGCCGATGGTGAGGTCGGCGCAGTCCAGTGGTGTCGGTGTCCGGTGATGGAGGCGTCCGGCGGGGAAGCACAGTGGCAGTCGGGTGGCAGTGCTTCCCGTCGCTTCAGCGCTTCCCTCTTAGATCGGATTAGGGTTAGAAATGTAGGTGGGGAGAATGGCAGTTCAGGTGAACCTCGTACTGTGAGCCGCCGGCCCCCACCTCTTTATATAGCGCAGTGCGACGGGGGCCCACCAACCATGTAGGGTTGGGCGCCCTCGATCAGGACGCGGGATCAAAGCCCAAGTTGACCGTTAGGCCAATCTTGGTGGAGAGATCAACCTAACATTATCCCCTCCTCCTTTGCCCAAGCTCTCGCACCTTGAACAACTTTGAGATCACTGGCACACAAGTCTCCGGACCAATTCCAGACTTCCTGGCAAAGACCAACCTCAGTGCTCTGACCATCACCAATAGCAAGCTGACAGGGCCTATCCCCAGGTCTCTGAGTCGCCTCTCCAACCTCAGGTACATAGATCTCAGTGGCAACATGCTCAGTGGGTCTATACCTCCTGGGTTGCTCCATGGAAGCTTCCAGTTCCTCATCCTGTCCAACAACAGGCTCACAGGAGAGATCCCAGAGGTTTATGCTGATGGAGACATAGACACCATTGATCTTTCAAACAACCACCATCCTTCTTGTTTGATATCACGAAGGCGATGAAAAAGATTGATCTGTCATGGAACAAGCTTGAGTTTGACATGACCAAAGTCAGGTTTCCCTACCGCCTGAATTATTTGGACATCAGCCATAACCATATCAAGGGAGGGGTGTCCAAGTCCCTGAAGGATATAAATCTTCTACACTTCAATGTCAGCTACAACGAGCTCTGTGGTGAGATACCGACCGGAAGGTACATGGTGTACCACCAAGCAGATTCCTATGTTAACAACAAGTGCCTCTGTGGCACACCCCTGCCCCACTGCAAGAAACGGCAGTAGAGAAGAATTAGGTAGGCGAATAAAGCAATAAGTAGAACCATGTATGGTTTGTCTCTGATGTCTTCCGTGTGATTTTGCTTCACTGCGAAGTGCGTTGTTGTATTCTTGTAAGATCAAAAGATCATCAATCTGGAATAAAACTCCTTGCTCAATTTGCCGAACAAAAAATATTCCATGCTGTTTCACAGCATTAGTGACAGGACCGCCCTTTCCAGGAAGCTCAGTGGTTCAGTGATTCATCTCCAGTTGTTCATGCTCTTAATTGGCATACCCACGACATTCTGATTTTTTTTCTCGTTGTACTACCATCTTATTCTAGTGGCCATATTGAATGTGTACGCAACACTGAGTTGCTTATTAAACTTGGTTGATATCTGTAAAGGCATTTTTTTTCTGAAACAGCGAAGATGATTATAATTCTCAGTGCACTGATGGGTTTTCACTTTTCAACCAATACAGTGCCTACTTGCAGCACACTCTAACACTGCTCACTCTAAATACATAAAGGGTTGTTTTTTTTTGAAAGATCCGGTTTGACCGGCTTTGATTAATAATAAGGAGCAAACATCCAAGTACATGCGCGAGCAGCGCGCCCCCGCCGCTGCGTGGGGGTTTGAATTCATAGCTGATTACTCACTAACTACATGAACAACCATTAGAGCCTTGCAACCAGCCATGGACCACTGTTGTGCCATGTCCTTTATTTTAGTTCAAGTATGTAGGATTCCATCGGGCAAAGAGGCATTGGCAGTTGCAATAGAAAACAACATTTGATGATGACTCACATGGGCATAAAAAACGTGCAAACCCAGCAGAAATGCAGGCAAGGATCATGTTTTTCATTCTCATATATGCAAGCCGCCTGTGCACTTCGGAATCAGGTTTTCGTCCACTCAGACACATCCGCATACTGCTTGCAGACCTAATTTCATCATATCACTGAATTAACGAGGGGGCGCTACACTGGAGTTTTCATACACTCAGCCAAATCAGAAATTTATGGCACATTATTGTAGCCTGCCCCTTCCTCTTTGCTTCTTATCCAGCTGAAACCTTAAGAATTCAAATTCGAACCACCTCTATGCAGTTCAAATTCGAAAAAAGTTCGGAAATTCAGACCATAATCCGTAAAAAGTAGCAATGAAACCTCTAAGAATCCCAATCAATGCCCATATAGAAACTCAAACGAAAATTGCAAAAAGAAAAAAAAAAGACAACCTTTACGAGCCAACAGACTCGGTTGTGGAGCTGGTGGCTCCGGCTGAGCACGTGGGCCCCACCATCATCTCCGCGGCGGCGACTAGGCAGCACGCCGGTGAGGAGCCCGTGTCCATGGCGCGACTCCCCGCTAGTGCGCCTTCCCACTTCAGCGAGGGGCACGCTGCAGAAGACGACAAAGAGAGGATTCGTGTGATACGGGCAGGGCAACGGACTAAAGAATCCCGAACGCAGATGCAGCACGCGCACGCCGCAGCAGCTGTGTAGGCACCCGGACGCCGCGTGTGGCCAGGCGACCAGGAGAGGGGCCGTCGTCACTGGTCGGGCCTAGGCCAGGCGCATGTGCAGCTGGTCGTTGCCAGGCCGCGCCACCATCCTCTATCGCCGGCTGGCCGGAACCTGCCATTCCCCGCTCTGCTCTACGTTGTACGGAAGAAAAAGGTTGAAAAAAATGCATGTTGCAAGTATATGTTTGAAGTGTTTTCAATGTTTTCAGAGGTATGTTGGAAGTGTTTCAGATGGATGTTGTAAAAGTAGATCGAGATGTTTCATATGTTGCAATGGTTGTACTCGTATGTTGCAATAACAATGTTTCATCTGTGTTTTCAGAGGTATTTTGCGAGTGTGTTTATGTGGATGTTGCATATGTTTTCACACATATGTTGCAAGTGTTTTATCTGCATATTGCATATATTTGCAATGGTTTTCAAGTGTTTTCATGCGTTTTTCAAGTGTTTCAGAAGCATAGTTCAAGTGTTTCATTTGTCTTTAGATCTGGTGCAGCATTAGATCTACTTTTAAAACATCTAGATGCAACACTTGCAATATACAAAAGAAGATAGTTGAAACACTTGAAACATACGTCTGAAACACTTACAAAAAATACGTGAAAAACACTTGAAAATCATTACAAAACATACGCAACATCCAGTTAAAACACTTGCAACATATATGTGAAACATATGTAACATCCGAATAAACACACTTGCAACGTACGTATGAAAAACAGATGAAACATTGAGAACAAACGCTTGCAACATATGTGTACAAACCATTACAACATATACAACATCTCAATCTACTTTTGCAATATCCGTATGAAACACTTGCAACATACATCTGAAACATTTAAAATATACGCTTGCAACGTGCGCTTTTATTGCAACATCTCTTTGCTGCTTGGGAGAAATGGAGGCTCGTCGGCGTGTGAAGTTCATCGAGCGCGGCGATGGAGCTTCGCGTCGTCGGCGGACTGGCCAAGTGAAACCGCAGCCTTGGAGCGGACCGGGGCAGGGGCTGCTGCGACCAGCCAGGGGGCGCGATGGGGCGGTGGCCGAAGCGGAGCCGCCCTCAGTTTCTTCGAGCCGAACGATGGAGCCTCGTGTCATCGATAGACCGGCCAGGGGACACCTGCGGACCGGCCAGGGGGCAGGATGGGGCGGTGGCTAGCCTCGGGGCGCCGCCAACGGGCGGATTACAGACTCCGGGGAGGCGTTGGCGAGACCGGCGGCCCTTGGAGGAAGCCGTTGGGCTGGTGCCATGGCCCGCTAACGCGACCGTCCAGACGATCGGACGCCCTGAACAGAGCATTATCGGTTGACAAATTATCATCATCACAAAAGATAGTTGGCCATCGTGTGGTGTTTTCTTAAAGAGAGGAGGTAGGCTTTCGATTAGCACGAAGCATGAACACATGGTGATCCCTATCGCAGTCTGCAGATTATTTATGGGCACGTGAATCGTCGGATATTTGTTTTTCAGTGCCTGTCTGCCTGATACTCCCTCTGTCCCAAAATAGAAGTCGTTCTCGCTTTCCGAGAACTCACCTTTTTTAACTTTGACCAATTATATATAAAAGAATATTAATGTTTATAATACATAATTAGTACCATTAGATAGATCGTTGAATATACTTTTATAATAAACTTATTTGAAGATATAAATGATGTACGCATTTTCTACAAACATAGTCAAAGTTGAGAAAGTTTGACCCGCCTGCATCCCATAACGACTTCTATTGTAGGATGGAGGGAGTAGGTGTTGAAACAGACATCTCTGTGTTTTGCAGTCCGAACCGTCATTTTCTCCGAACGTTCGTTTATGGCCATGTGAACCACCAGACATTGTTTACCGCTGCCTCGGTTTCGTTTTGAATCTCTAGATACATAAAATTTTTAGTTTGTACGTGGACATAACCTATGTTTAGATGCGTAATAAGAACTATATATGCTTAGGGTGCGTTTGGTAGAGATCCAGATTCTTTTCGAAATATTTCGGATTCAGTTTCTTCTTAGAAATGTTTCTTCTAGTGTGGTGAATCAGAATCACTTTTCCAAATCGTTTGGTTAGTCGGTCAGATTCTCGATGGGTGGCGAAAATCATTAATTTACATGAAAACCGTAAAAATATATAAGTTTTACAAAAAAATGGTAATTTTATTATATGGGCCAACAACAAATCAAAAGCAACCAATTTTAATCTGTTTCAATTGAAGAGGATCACTACAAAAATTTCTAAACTAGATGGGAGGTAGGAACACAAGAAACAGACTCCGGAAAAACTAGTTTGGAGGTTTAGGGCTGTTTGGCTGATAGTTTTTACGGCTGATAAGCCGGCTGATGCTGTTTCGTTGTAAGAGAAAAATACTGTACCATGGCTGATAAGCCGAGTTGTAAGCGTCGCTAGAAACGTTTCTACCTAGAATCATGTTTGACCGTTTAGAAGTGTTTCGAGTGATTCTGAAGAGAATCGGGACCAATTCTCACATCTAAACAGACCCTTAGACTTATAATTTAGAATGGAAAAGAGTATATTGAAACTCAGAATCGGATCCTTGGCACTGTGGTAGCTTAGCTCCGGTGCTAAAGACATGCCAAAGCTACGTTTTGAACAACGCATAGCTTTGGCAAACAGATGGAGGGACTATTTGCTAAAAAACATCTGTCTCAAGAAACCAGCTTGTGATGAACTCTTCGGATGGAAGTAAGACTTGTGAAATCGAAAATGTTGATAGACTACTAGGAATGCCATATAGGAACTTATTACGAAAAGAAAGAAACCAGGCAACTTTTCAGGGCCACCACCAACGTCACGGGCTCACAGCCTGTGCTGCTTCCCGGAGCCCGCAGCTGCCGCGTCGGCCGCCTCCGCCCAATCTCGCGCAGGGACGCAATTCCACTGACTGCTTCTGTCCTCTGGTTCATTCTTCTAATAAACTTCACATTGTCACTCCTCAGAATTTTTCTCATCGTCAGGCTTCTTATGATTTAGCTAACAGTATTAATCCTGAAAACCGTACAACAAAATGACGCTATTATTTATGCCTTTCAGGCTCAGTGCAGACAATTCATAGAGAATGTAAATTTTGCATACACAAAGTAAGTCCTACAGTATATGAGCAGAAGATGTTGATCATACCGTGGAGAGTTTCCTGCTTCAGTAGCAGCAGTGCCATCCCCATTGCCAGCACAAAGAAATTCATCATGTAGCATCTCCAAGACATCCCAACCATTTTCCATGATTGTCTTGGACCAGTGCACTCTGGTTATGCTTTCACCTTGCCTCAAACACTTGCAGATCATTTTTGTCTCCTTTGCAATACCCTTTAAAGCAACAGTTTTGCAATTAATCCAGGGTATCCATTCACAATTTCACATCAAAGAATAAACACAAACTAGTAAGCAAGAGCTTTGTTTTGGTGGAGACTGGCACGTACCAACATGACAGCAGCAGCACAAGCATATTCAGAGCCTCTGTACATCATAAGATTCAAAGCATGCTGG